AATCCTTGTAGAGTTTTTCGCCCCATGGTGTGGTCATTGTAAAGCGTTGGGTGGGCATTAATTAGATTTATCTCTTTATTATCTTTTTCATAATGAATAAATGAAATGAAACAGTGAAAAGGAATAACAAAATCTAACGAGTTTGTTATTATATATGCATTTATTTAGCTCCCGAATACGAAAAAGCAGCTACTGCATTGAAAAAACATAAAATTAAATTAGCAAAAGTAGATTGTACTGCCGAGACTGAACTATGCCAAGAATATGAAGTTACAGGGTATCCAACGTTGAAAGTTTTCCGTGATGGTAATGCAACGGACTATACAGGCGGTCGAAAAGAAGATTCAATTGTTAGTTATATGAAAAAGTGAGTATTTATCTGCAGAAAACACAAGATTAATATTTTAATTGTTTGAAATTTATTGCATGGAAATTTAACATGATCGATGAATGAATGCTATTTATTATTCTAATATTCAAAAAGACAAACACTACCCGCGGTATCAGATGTCACCGTAGAAAATCTCGATACATTCAAAGATTCCGAAAATGTAGTTATCATCGGGTTCTTCACGGCAGACAGTCAAGAGGAATACAATACGTTTACAAAAGTTGCTGAATCTAATCGTGACAGCGACTTTGTATTTGGTGCCACAGGACAACAAGAAGCAGCTGCCAAAGCAGACATAAAAGCACCCGCAGTAGTCCTCTACAAACAATTCGATGAACGCAATGTAACACTTTACCCGCCTTTTGACGAAGAAGCTCTCTCGACATTTATCAAAACAAATTCGATTCCTCTTTTGGCTGAAATCGGACCAGAAAATTACGCGACGTATGTTGATTCGGGACTTCCTCTTGCCTTTTATTCTATGAAAATGAAGAACAACGAACTGCTCTTGGTAAAGAAATTGAACCTGTCGCGTCGGAACATAAAGGAAAAATTAACTTTGTTTATATTGATGCTGTTAAATACGGAAGTCATGCACAAAACATTAATCTCAAGGAAGAATGGCCAGCATTCGGTATCCAGCAACCCGAAGAAGGATCGAAATATCCACATGATCAGTCCAAAGAAATAACAACTGAAAATATCCAAGTATTTGTTAGGAAATTCTTGAAGGGTGAGATTCCACCTAGTATTAAATCGGAATCTATCCCCGAAAAGAATGATGATCCAGTTTACGTCTTGGTTGCTGATTCATTCGAAGATGTAGTATATGACAAGAATAAAGATATCTTGGTAGAATTCTATGCTCCATGTCAGTCATCAATAACTAATCATGATCATATTTGTGAATTTATAATGGAAAAATGAATTACTCATCTCTATTTTTCTTCGTATTATTATAGGGTGTGGCCATTGCAAGAAACTTGCGCCAATCTACGAGAAACTCGGTGAAACCTATCAAGAATTCAAAGACAAGATAGTAATTGCCAAGATGGACGCCACTTTAAATGACCTTCCAGCAGGAGTCCCATTCAAGATCAGTGGATTCCCCACAATCAAACTCTTCAAAGCTGGCGAAAATAATGATATTGTCGATTATCAGGGCGATCGCACATTTGAAAGTTTTATTAAATTTTTGGACGCTAATGCCTTTAATAAGGTTGAGGTTAATGTTACGTCACCTTCTGCTTCTTCTGATGCTGCTTCAGAAAGTGAATCAACTTCCACCACCACCACCACCACCACCGCTACTGACGATGATGCTGCTACTGCTGCTGCTACTACTACTGTTACTACTACTACTACTACACCAATACCTTCGTCTACTGAATCTGCTGATTCTAAAGAAGCACCGCGTGAAGAACTATAAATTTTATTTTAGAATTGTCACTATGTTATGTATAAGATAGTAATCATTATTAAATATTCATATATATATATCTTTTAGTCCTTTATTTCAATGTTTATGTACTGTGAAGATACCAATTGATTTTTAAAATCAACTTTTTAAATTTTATTTGTTTACTTTTCTAGAATGATAACTGTTCTATATTTATAGTGGTAATCAAAAGAAATGCAACATCAAAATTTAGTAAAATTTAAATTGTTCTTTATATAAAAGTTTTACTAATAAAATTTTTATAATTAAAACAAAAAAAATTTATCAACAAAAAGCTTTGCAAATATATTAAAATGTGAATTATTTTGTAAGGAAAAAAATCTTTAAATAAATAAATCAATTATATAGTGACTAACAGAATTATGAAATTATGCATGCAATTTTATTAATAAAACATAGTGAAATTTTTATATCAAAACAAAAATTATAAGTTATAGTTTAACATATATTTTTTAGATTTTTTTCTGACAAAGTTGTTTTAATTACAAAGTTATTGCAAAAATTTTTTATAAAAAATATATATGTTAAATTATAACTTATAATTTTTATTTTGATATAAAATTAAAAATATTTATTAATAAAATTAA